GACCTCCTGCACTGTAGGGACAGAGAAGTCCATAAAAACAACACAGAACCATGCCAAGTTCATTTGCCCTGAGCATTTCCAATCACGACTTGGCACTTGGACCACCTCAGGGGATTTATGCTTTCCTTAATGGCACTGTGTTGAGGATGCTGCCCCCAGAAAAGGTGTAGGGCACCGTCTGGGGCAGCCCTCTGCCCACACCTATCCTCATGCTACAAGCCACCACTTGGACAGGCCAAGCCAGAAACGGACATTGGAGAGACACCAACCACCAGGCCAAGGCTGAAACCCAAGGGCTTCCAGGAGACGCGTTCCTTCTCTTTCTGCAGATGCTGTTTCCATGACCTAAAGCCACTGGTTTCTCTGGCACTGAAACAGAAGCGCACACCAGCACACACTCAGACACACAGACACCCCCCCACTTCCTACCATTAGCGATTGCTAATGGACTGCCTTCAAGTCCTGGGAGAATGAGTCCCTTCACTACTTATTTCTACTGGGTTTCACTTGTCTCCCTGTAGTACACCTGATGGACTTTCAGAGACCTGTGGGCCAAAAGGATGCAGGAGGGGAATTCGGGTCAGTGTGTTCCATTTTCTGGTGGACCACTGGTTGGTTGTTTGCTTTCTTGGTCATGTGGCTGGCCGGTTTCCTAACTGGCTGGCACTGGAAATCCATTGAAATGCTTGACTCATCGCCCTTTCCACCCTATCTTCCTTTAAAACAATGAAGGGACTTTTCTCATAGAAGGGGGTTGGTTATTTTGGAAACACACGCACAGCACCACCAGGATCACCTACCCAACACACCAGAAAAACCCCACTTTTGAATGAGATGAACATGGCCCTTCTGGTTTCTAATTTGTTTTGAACTGATATGATTTTTTTCATCTGTTTCCCACATTACTGGAACTGACTTCTCCTTCTCCCAGGTCGTTATGTATCTCTCTCCTTAGAGAGCTCACCTCTCTCTTGACAGGCCCTGCCATGAGAAGTCAAGAGCAAAGAACACCAGTTGGAGCCAGTGGAAACCCAAATTGATGGACACCAACAGAGCAGAGACTATTTTTCTCTGGGCAACCTAGGGAGGCCTGAATCCATATCAGACTGCAGATAGCATTGCTTCCCTTGCACCAGGATCTGGTAGCATCTCCACTTGCCCCGAACACTGCATGTTCACGGGCTCCATGTGTTTCCTTCAAGGGTGTTTTTCCCTTGCATCCACAAGCAACTAAGAGTGTCGACCAACCTTCCCCACAAACATAGAGATGGCCAACTAACAATTACCCACTCACGTGCCTCCTATCGAAGCTGTCTGATTTCAGTCCCCTGCCTGGCTCCACAAGTGATGATTCACAAGCAGCCTGGGAGCTGGCAGGGTGTCAGTGGAAACGCGCTCCACAGATGGTAAGGGATTTAAGACACCAAATTAAGTGGCTAACCAGTCCCAATTGGCAGGGGGAAGTTTGAAAATACCAGGACACTTACAAAATCAAAATTAAAAAAAATTAAAAATCAAATGAAAGGGAAAAATGAAAACACTCAAATGAAAAATGTTGAAAGTCCAATACATAAAAAATAAATGTAAACAAAGAAAAGAAAGATAGCAAACAATGTAATGCAAGACAAGGGAACTTAATTATGAGGCTCATCTTTGGTGGCCAACGGTGACTCGAGTTCCACACCCACTTGCCAAATCTGAAGTGATTGTCGAAGGGCCTTCACTGGGTCTGGTCCTACACAGAGTCCCAGAATCAAAACACCACGATTTGATGTCAGGG